CAGTAGCTTGATTTGAAGAGTATAGATGTGTAGGTGAAGGACAATCAGATGCCTTGAGGAAATGCTTAAAGTTTCTGGCCTCATTTTCTGTGAAACTGTGTCTGAGACCTACCTAAAGGCAAAGGAGCCAAGAGAAAGCAATCACAGCTGCCACAGTCATAACGAGGTAACACTTTCTCTGTGAAGACAAGAGGCTAACTCTGGTGTGTAAAGTGTGTTTCTTTCTTCTCGCTTCAATGCAGAGTGTTGGAAAAGAAAGTTAATTGGTCAGAGTGGAAACGAGAAAAGCATTTTGCTGAGGTTTGTGGATTACTCAGATGTTGATAGCGGCTTGCCTATATCCCACATGGTACGGGGCCTCAGACACTGTACATCACAGGTGGAATCACCAGGAAGTGAGGGGATCATATGGGAAAATAGGGGATGGAAGTTTAAAAACACAATATAGACCACCCCGCCTACTTACTCTCACTCTGATATAAAGGAAGAGGCCTTGAAGGACTAGTCCTAACGATTTAGTTGTTGGAAGGAACCCACAGAATAACAGCTTCTCAGTGTTTGCCCAGCTATGGAGTATTGGAGGCCTATCACACCCCATCAGGGATACTGATGTGGATGGTATATTGGTGCTGATACTGCTGATAACATGATTTTTATTCTCATTTATCAACAGAAATTTAATTTGACCTAAAATTATTTTTAAAAAATTAAAAAAATCTTACCATTGTTATATCTTTCTTAGCATATTGTGAGATTGACTAAAGAAGAACCTTGGGGAAATGAGGTGGTTTAATTTTCTGGGCAGTCTCTATCAACCTTCCCATTTGCAGACAGTCTTATTCCTGACTGATCTTTCCAGTGGTTACTTTTCATTTCTCAAGCTCTCTATACCCTCCTGTGTGGGTCCCTTGAGATGGGTGGTCTATACTTGCAGGTAAAAGACTAGGGTAAGGAATGAACATTAAAGACTGTGGAACATAAAAAGGTCAACTAGTTAATATTAAGAATGAACTGCTTAGTGATATAGCACAATGGTCCAATCCTGAAGGAAGTAGATGGTGTAGGCTCACTAATTTTATTTGTTCAGAACATTTTCAAATTATTGAGTTTTTGTTTGTGTTTTATAAATAAAAGTCAAGAACAAAATGTTCCTACTTGTAAGGCTACAGGTATGCTTCTTACTATTTGCTCCTAACTTCTGGCCATCTCTTTGACCCATCTGTCTTCCAAAAATAGGTTTAAGACCATAAGTAGGGTAATTAATGTTAAGAATAAATATCATTCTATTAAGAAACATATTTGTTATAACTTTTTCCTTTATGTACCACTGCACTCTCTATATACCATGATCTTTATTATTAAGTGACCTTAATTATCAATTAGTAATGAATTACTTTAAAATAAAATGTAGTTATATATTTATATCATGTAAATATATTTTCACATATGTATATTCACATTAATGTATGGAATTATATAACTAGTACCTTAACTCTACGTATCAATAATTTTGTGCACACTTTTCAAAAATCTCTGTCTTTGGGGGCGCCTAGGTGGTGCATTCAGTTGAGCGTCTGACTCCTGGTTTCTGCTCAGGTCGTGATCTCAGGGTCGTGGGATTGGGCCCCGCATCGGACACCATGCTCAGCACAGACTCTGCTTGAGACTCTCTCTCCCTCTCTCTATGTCCCTCCCCCACTTGCTCATGTCTGTCTCTAAAATAAATAAATAAATTTTATAAAAATCTCTATCTTTGTGTATAGAAGCCATGATGTTAAAGCAAATATATTCTCAAGGGTTCTGTAACCCATTGAAGTCCTATAGGGCCATCAGAAACCTAATGTGAGCTGTAGTTGCCTGCCGGCATCCTATGATTGTTTAATTGGACTTGTTTCTTAGTACTTGGGAAAAAGAAAATAACACACATCTAAATCAGATGGGTCATTGTGCATTTTAATGAAAAGCTTTTTTTTAATATGAAAAAAATTCTAATAAAATACCTAAATACTAATATATCGACAGTATACAGGGATCCTCAAAGGATTTAGCGTTCTGTGCTGTGACCACCAGCCGAAGAACAGGTAACTAACATATTAGACACTTTATGGATTATACCAGGAGATATGTTTTAACTCATATTTTAGCTGAATTCATGCCATTGCACAGTGCTTTTAATTGTCTTTTCTTCTGCATGCTTCTTGGTTGCAGATAATTCTACCACACCTGGATTCCAGTACTTCCAGACCTGACCCAATTTGACTTCCTAGGTGACACTCCAGGCTCAAAACCAGCTCTCCTCCTGGCTGGCACAATACCTGAAATTTCTATCATTAGACTCATTCCTTTAGGATAAACTTCATTGTCCTTTTAAAGTGGGAATGTATTATCTGGAGAGGGTAACAAATTAACATGAAATTCATTATCAGTAGGGATTACACTGTAATATGGGCAACTGCCACTCACTTTCCCCGAATTTCATGTGACCCTGCCTAAGGAGCAACTCTGCTTCTGGTCTTGCTGCCTTTGCTCACTACAGTAATAGTTTCTACCCAAAGTGCAGGAGATGTATAAATAAAGGGGTAAGTAGCATTCCTCACTCATTTCCTTTTAGGGAGAATGGGTCACACAAACCATGTGAATTAGGGAGAAATGATAAAAACTGACCGTTGATAGGAGGAAGGAGAGAGCGTGTAGGGAAGTTTTAGACCACAGATACCTGCTTAGAGAGGGCAAGTTGGATACTAGGGAGTGAAACCCCAAACAGCTGTGTGGTCAGCATGAAAATACCAGGTGCCTGGAAAAGGAGCCCTTCTTTGGTTTGGTTGGGCTAGGGAGAGAGAGATGCCAACACAGAGTGGACCTACTTCATAGTTTTGAGCTTTCTTTCAGTAGACAGAGTATAATATAACCAAGCGGAGGAAGGAGACAGGGGATCTAAATTATTTATGGGAGTGATAAGACTTGAAGAGTTCAAAGTAGGCGGTAGAAACAAGTGAGGAGAGACTGAGGGGAAGGGTATGAGCAACAGAGGGGTTTCTTAATAGCTTTTTTGAGGAAACCGTGATGTCAGTGGTGCAGGTGTGGATCCAACTTTAGACACTAGTGCATAAGTGCATATTTTCTTTTTACACGGCTGGGTTAAATTACTTCCTCCAGGTCATCCAATTAATCACTTGGAGAGCAAGGAGTAGAATTCAGCATTCAAGGCTCTCATTTCACATCTGGAGCAGGGAAGCCAGGCTTCTCCTTCCTGAAACACCTCTTCATTTAAAATAATTTTTTTTTGCAAATCAATGAAGTTTTGAGCTCTTTTACAGAGAATTTGCAAAACCTTCTTTCTATTTGTGTAATTTAAAACTAGGTTAGTGTTGGTAAGCAAAAACACTATAAATTGCTTTCTGATTTATCTTTCATTCAAAAATTTAAAATATCTATCAAAATTATTTTGACTCTTGCCTCCCCTCCTCCCAGTTTTCAAGCTATTATTCTGGGGAACCAAAAAAAAATGAGTTACAGATCTGAGAAAGCAGTGTGTGCTTAACTGCTGCATGACTGATTGTGTGATATATTGCTCTTTTCACTAATAACCACAAAGCAGGTAGAGGCATGGCAGACTAATTTGGTTTATATGTCCAGCTGTAAGGCTAGACACTGCATCATTCTTTTCAGAAACCAGTGACTTTAGGCATGTGGAACTTGTAGTCATGACAACAATAAGCCAGCTTTGAGTCTGAGTTTCAGCTCAGAAACTGCCTTGTCTCCATTACTTCCTGCTCATGACCTGACTTTTCGTACTCTCTGGGGCTGGGGGCTGGGGATTTATGAAAGATCTATTGAACAGAGCTCCAGTATATGTTTAATGCTTAAAATGTCTGGGTTGAAAGTTTTGCTTGCACAGATGGCTAAAGGCTGCAAGGAGGATAGATCAATCATTATTATAGCTAATGACACGGTTATAAGGGTGTACACAAAGGTGAGCTGATTTGGAAAATGGGAAAAGGCAATGTGAAAATAGTGACTTGGAAGCATTTCTTTGAATAACATAAAAATATCTATCACAAATAAAATGTTCTTTTAAACACATAGGGGAATTATACTATGATTCTGAGAGTACCTATCCAAAAGGCACAATGAGAAGTAATTAAACAAAAGTTAGTACACAAAATTGAGTGTGTGTGTGTTGTGTATGTATATGCATGCACTTTTTTAAATCTGAAGACACAACAGATGCTAATGACAAAATCTACAAGTGATCATTTTTTTGTCCCATATGTTTAATGGATTTAACAGTGACTACTTGAAGAGATAGCATGTTCAGTGACAGAAGTATGATATCATAGGGTTCAATGGCCTTCCCAAAATATCAGCTGCAATATTGGAAAGTTGTCTAACTATACAAAGTCTCTGGCTTTGCAGGTCTAAAGAGAAATGACACGATTTGCACTGTTGGGTTGTTGAACGATGAAATGAGATAATGGAGAGAAGTGGATCCCGGTGCCTGGGAGAGAGTAAGCACAGTGCTGGGAGCTGTCACTGTTGATGCTGCTGGTGTTGGTTTGTCCGGTAATGGAAATCTGTCCTTCACGAGATTAAAATGATTCAACTGTTCCTTGTTACAGACATGATCACAGAGATTGGAAGACTTTTTTCTTGGGAGAGATGTTTTCTGGCTTTGCTGTTTTCTCCATATAATCTACCCTTTAAGGAGGGTAGAGAATTATTGGCTGGAGAAGGCAGGAAGTGCAGGGTGTGAATTGCTAACATAAAAGATATGTCTGGAGACTTTTGTGCCTTTTTGTGCCTTTTTACTGCACATCCCCCGCGCCCCCCACAGGAAGTCAGAAATTCCAGCATCACTTTTGTTTCCTATTCCTTTAGCACATTGACCTAGTTCTGTATGATTGCCTTTTTTTAAGCTTCTATTTTCCAGCAAGTTGCTACCTCAAGCCGGCAGGCAGAGAAATAAGACATAGATCAAATCCTAGAGAGAAGCCAAATGCTTCCTTTCTTTTCTATGTATTGAGAAATTGAATGATTTGCTTTCCTCAGAGATCGACTTTATGATTTCATGATCATGTGGTTAAACTTCCTGGTGAATGAGATGCTGCCCAGAGGCCATGTTATTCTCCGTGACGCGGCAGAATGTGGATCACCACGTAGAAACCTGAGAAAGTACATTCATTTGTTAAGTTATAATTTCAGAAACCATGAACCACAGACTGGTGATGTATTTTTTTCTTATAAGAATTTATGATGTTGCAAATAATTGAATTTCTCTTTGCGTTGTCCCCAGATGGGCAGTTACAGTTTATGGCAATGTAAAATTATTTTCTGAGATACACAGATCACATTTTTATCTTACAAAGTTTATGAGAGAAATAAACTTTTGTATGTTCCTCATTAGCATGGAAGAGTTAATATACCTCCAGAAAAAGAGAAATGTATTACTTTTCTCTAGTAATATTAATTTTTGTACATTTTAAATTGCTTACAATAATAGGCTGATTAATATGAGAGAAATTTAAACATTAGCAAATAGGACATTTGGAAGTATAAGATAAATATACACTATGTAATTACTGTATTGCAGAAAAGATGTGATTGAGTGAATAACTGTTCTGGACATCACAAGCATTAGTGGAAAGTATCATTACAAGCTTATAAAGGACCATTACAATAACATTACTATAAAAACAATATTTTTCATCCAAAATGGTTTTGTGTTGATAGTTTTTCACCGTCTTTTAATTAGATTCAGATAAAAATGTAGCCAAAGTTTGAAGACTTTTCCTCTTGTTTCACAAGACCTCATAATTTCATAAATATTGGTCCTAATGTTTCCAGGCTTTACAGGGGATTTTGGAAAGCACAAGTCATTTCTTTTTACAAAGTTAGAATGTTTAGTCTATACAAAAGATAAATCTTTTGAAGATTCAGAGTCTCTAAATATACCCAGAGGAAACAATTGTCTCCTTAGGAGATTCTTCCTGGAATATTTCTGTCTCTTCAATATTGGTATATTTTTGTTCCTGCTCACAAATGTTGCTGATAAAAGCATTTTGAGAAAGGGAATTGAAACAATGGAAAAAAAATCTATTCCCTAATATGTAACAGAAGGCTGATTCATCAAATGTGGATTAATGTTTATGATGTGCTTAACAGTAGAAAGCTCCAATTTTTCTGGTGGACATACAGGAATATTAATGACAAAAGGCCAGATTCTTCCCCTTTGAATTCTCTGTGGATTTCTCTCAAGTACCAGGGCAGAGGTAGAATCCAGGAGTATAAATACAGATTTAGTCAAAGTAAACCTCTACTCCAGAGCTTGGTTATATAATATATATATTTACACATAAGATATATAAAATATTTTGAAATAAATAAAATATATAAAATAAAAATATATATTCAAAGATATTCAAGGTTTTTACTAATGAGTACAATAAGTCAATTGATTTGTACTTGCATGATATCCAAGTTATTCAGTTCACCAGCCAATTTTTTTAACTTGGGCTGGAACTAAAAACACCACATCATCTAATTTACAACAGGCTTTCCGCAAAGTTAGATATGGATTGCAAAGGTTCACCATAATTTATTGCCAAAAATTGATACACAATAGCTGGGCTGATTTTTTGTGGTTTATATTAGTATATATGATGATATCATTTCATGTTCCTCTACCTTTTGTCAGAGACTCATTGTTTATGCATTATTGTTGTTAGTACTATTATTATGCTTTGAAAACCTTCAAATGATTTTGTTTATTTTTTGTTGTCTGTCTAGCGTTATCACTGTTAAATTTGCAACAGTGATAGTTTGTTTTCTTCTCACAGACCTAATCTTTTGCATATTCTGGTTATTCTTGAACCAGTAGCTTAAGGATAGATGCAAAAGTGATGAGAGTTTGATTTAGCTCTGGCTTTTATTATCGGATACCCACAAGGAAATAAAGCTTTGATCTACTTCCTTGGAAAGTTAATCCTAGTGATTATGTGGAGATGTGTGCGGTGGGAGCTACAGGGATATACATCTTTAATCTCTTGGTGTTGAATACTTAATCCAGTTTGGATTCTTGGCAAGGAGATTTAAAGGAAGAACAAAATAATTACACTCTTCATGAGCTTTGTTTTCTGGAATGAATATTTGGTAGCTCTGCTTGCCCTTTTCCAGTTTAACAGGCATGCCTAGGAGAATAGACTGAGGCTTACATAGAGAGATGTAAAAATTGTTGATTTTTGTGGTCCTCAATAGGTAAATTTAAAGTAGATCTATTAACTATGTGGCAGTTTGGGTGGGGTTTTTATTATTCAGCTTGTGTGTTTTGGCACAGTGAAGGCTGAATAGAGCATATGCTATTTTCAATGGAATAATTTAAACATTATTCTAGGACTGGAACACTATTATTAAAAAGTGCTCATCTTCCTTTATTCATAGAAACTTTGTATGCTGGTGTTGGCCATAAAATGGCCACTAAATTTAAATATAACACAGCTTCATTAGAAAATGTACTTAAGCCAAACACATTTATTTTCAAATTGCTATTCCATTTTATTGAGAAAATATGTTAGGTTAAAATATACTTAAGTCAATTTTGTTAATTAATCCATTTGTTAAGATAATATATATTATCTGGGGCACCTGGGTGGCTCGGTCTTTAAGCGTCTGCCTTCAGCTCAGGTCATGATCCCAGGGTCCTGGGATCAAGCCCCGCATCGGGCTCCCTGCTCCGCAGGAAGCCTGCTTCTCCCTCTCCCACTCCCCCTGCTTGTGTTCTTGCTCTCGCTATCTCTCTATGTCAAAAAAATAAATAAAATCTTTAAAAAAAAAAGATAATATATATTATCTTTCAATTTACATCACCCATTATAATTACTTATAAACTACATGTCAAAAAGGAAAATAAAAAAATAACCAAAATCTCATCAACCTTACATAAACATTTAGCATTCATGATGTTTTAATGTAGTACATATATGTTAGTATCTTTTTAAATTAACATTATTTATAATTTTTTTCACAGCTCTTCCTTAATTAAGCATAAATATAATCTTATACCTTTATAATATGCCATCAAGTGTATTACCGTAATTCACTCAACTACACTCCACTTTTTTTTTTCTATTGTGAATAATACCAGAACTTATACGTATTGAACTCTGAAGTGTTGGCAAAAGAAATAGTATCATTTTATTACTAAATCTTCATTCTTTATTAAAATGTTATAAATAGACCTGTTAGAAATTAATCCTGATATCAGAACAAAGGTAAGTAAGATTTTGTACGGGTCTCACTGATTTTCAATCTAATAATTAATAGTTCTAAATAAATTGCTATATAAAGCAAATCTTTAAATTGTGAGATTATCCCTTAGAAGTAATTTTTGGTCAGTGATGTATTAGCAATTTGATAGTAGTTCAAATTCAGCCATCTATGTTAATTTATGACAAACAGAGGTGGCCTTACCCATCATCCCTTCCCTAGGTGTAGTTCTTGTTTCTTCTGTGATTGTGGCCCCCAAATTTTGTGGCCTTTTTTATTAGCTTGTAAAAGTATCTGTTCCAAGTGAAGTAAGATTTAATCTTCAGAATTTGTCTTAGTAATATATGAATGGCAACTGGGCAATAATTGAATAAAGCTTTCTGCGTCATTGGGGGGAAAGACATTTTCGATTTTACATTGTATCAAAATGGACTTTTTAGGAATTCCTAAAACATTCCCTGAAAAAATGTGCCATGGTTTACATGGATCCAAACAAAGTTTTCATAGAATCCCCAAAGATTTTTTAACATGAGCACATATAATTTAAGAATATACTTGGGGTTTTATAGACCCCTCCAAAGAAGAATTCAACTAGGTGTTTAAATCGTACCTGTTTTGTTTTTGAAATGAATTGATAGAATGTCCTGGCATCACGTAGACAAAGGATAAATTCTGTTTGTAATCAGCTGTAAATATTCCTTATCTTCTATATCTTTGCTTCCTGTGCTTTACCTGCTCTGCTCAATGGCAATTATAGGGCTGGGTGACCTTGGTACTTTCTCTGTTTATTATACAGGAACTTTCTCAAGCCTAGGGAGAATAAAATCCTCAAGCAGAATTTTTTATTTGGCATGAAACCTTCTCCCCTACTTCCTTTTGCAAGCTAACCTCAAAATTGTAGGTGACACCTGGCTGAGGCAAAATTGCTTCTTTTTTCTCTTGATACCCTGGCTGTTGGTGTACATGCATGGGAAAGGTGTGTGGCAGTGGCAGAGAAGGGGAAGCTGGTAGGGAATGAGCCCCCATGTGTGAACGAGAGAAACAAGATTAACCTCATTCCTAGGGAGTATGTGTGCTTCTTCAACACAGAAAGAAAAATCACTTCATTGATTAGGTGAGTGTCAATCCTTGTGACCCAGCCTTTCGGAGTGGCTTTTATAGTGGTTATTTGGGTATTTTTCTTCTTGTTCGTATATTGCAAAAGCTTTAATGTACCCAGATTTCCAGGTTAAATCTACGAGAATTTACTACATCGGTGTCACTCAACATGGGGCTTAAGGTCTCATATGGGTCCTAGAACTGTTTGTTAGTAATTCAGGATGAGATAAGGGGTTGGAACAAGAATGTCAATCAGCCAAGTTGCTAAGTACACTGTTTAGTTCACCTGATGCTTTTTATGTAACAAGACTTTCTTGATTATTCCTGGAGTGCTGGTAATAAACAGTTCAAAGACAGATTACTCCGAGTAGCCCTTATTTAGATCTTTCTTTCAGACTTTGTATAAATGTTAAATATGTAAAAAACATTTAAGTACTTGATGTGAAAAGTGAGTGTTTGCTGATAAAATTGGACAGCTGCATGGGGGCAGGGGGCACAGTGTCAGAGAAACTGGGTCTTGGTTTAGACTCTGCCATTTACCATTTATGTGACTGAAGTGAGTCATTTAATCTCTGTGAGTTTGAGATTTTCTTATTTGCAAAATGACCTAGAATTGTTCTGGATTAAATATTTTAATGAAATGTCACAAATTTAGAGAAACTGAGCTCACTGATGCATCGCATTCTCATATCTAGACCTATGTTGTTAGCATTTGAAAACTGACTATTGATTAAATAAGACAAGTGCTCAATATATTAATTTAAAAATTCAACTTGGACAACCCCACATCTCTCCTCCCTTGAATATTTCCCATCTTTAAACACACATACTTTGGTCTTTGATAAAGTCTTCTCCTGTGGCC